TGGTGGGCCACCCTGTATATAACTAAAAGAATCCAAAACATTTTTTTTCAATATTCTATTTATTTTACGAGTAATTAATTGGGTTTTGATAAACGGATCACACTGCTAAGAATTTATTAATAAATTTTACTACAATGTTAATTAAATCAAGTCCCATATTAAAAATAAAATGTAAAAATTTGTCACATTATATACAAATTATTTTGCGATAATTCCACCAAAATTTGGTGGAAAATATGTAACATTAAATGTCACATGTACTATAAAATTTATAAAAACTATGATATATGCTATGTCAATTACCTGAGCTACTTCCACTACCGACTGCATAATTGAAACAACCTACTAAACTAAATAGAATTATATTGAATTTCATTTTAAGTTTTGGTAATAAAAATTAGTTCTTATTTTATTCCTAAAGTCAAACTGATTTAAAGTTCAAAATGCTTAGTTAAAAAAAAATCTGGTTATATAAATGAGCAATAAGTGAATATAATCGGAATATTAATTTTATAGATTATTTATTAATTTACATTTCCTTTTTTAGATTTGTAACACATAAAGCAGAAATATTTTAAAATAATTATGACGTACATATACAACTTGTTTATATATGTTTTATCAAAATTACTTTGTATTATATCAGTATTTTTTTTAATAAATTATATAAATTGATATATTGGAAAAAAAAAAACCAGCACAAGTGGGTCGCGGCACAGTGGTGACGTGGCATAGATGAATCAAGTATAATGATATACTTAATGAGTAGTGAGTGGTGGCTCTGTATATATAAAATTAATGACACGCGCGCGTCTACGGGTCGGAAAATATTGTTGTCTACGATTGGTGAGCGGGGTGGGGTGAATGCTTTACGACCGTCTAGTCTCAAGGCCGTTGACACGTGCCGCGTGAAGTTATAAACTTACATACAACAAACATACATGTGAAACTAATATAAGCGTGTTACAAATAAAATCGAGAATTTTCACACAAAAATAGCATTGTATGTGTGATGTGTGTTTATAACTTTCCACGCGGCACGTGTTATTATTCTCGCGTACCCGTTGTCTAGACTAGACGTCGTAACGCATTCACCACACCCCGCTCATCATTCGCCGGCAACACAAATTCTGTAAAATTTTATATTTTTAGTTTTCGTACCCATACACGCGTGCCTGTAATCAATTATATATATATAAACAAATTTTTATTTTGACTGACCAATACCGCCGTTTATACCTTAGGTATAACGTTCCCCCCGCCGACAAAACAAGGCTATACCTAGTGTATGATACGTTTACGTACTTATGTCGCCTTACTATATATATGTATGTGTATATATTTATATATATTCCTACAGCCGCCGCATATGTCTCGCGTACAAAGTTCCCCCGCGCCCCGCCCGACCGAAAAATACAGCTATACCTCGTGCATTATACGTTTACGTCGCTTTACATGTATATATATATATTCTAATTACTATTAAAATTATATATTAACACGCTTTATTCTCATTAAGTGATATAGTGTGTATTCATTCCGATTACAAAGGATGATTCGCGTATCGTCATCCGTATCTACCTTCATGTTCCGGAAGTGGGTAATTTACGCGCCTGCTGCTTTCTTTGGATGTGGTAGCCGTTTTTCAGACTCCCTCCCCGGAATCGAACCTTGATTTCCCGTTACCCTTTACAACCATGATATTTATAGTAACTACTATCATAACATGAAACTAAAAAGTAAAAAATAAATATAGTTTAAAAAAACTAAAAAAACACGCTTTTAAAGCACATTGAACTAAAAAGTTCAAAATAAATTTTAAAATAAGTTTAAAACAATAATGAACGAAAAATACTATTATTATTGTGATAAAAGCGGGGTGCTGCTTTGTGTCATATTTTTCGTATATTGAGCGCCCGACGCTTTTATCACAATAATACTAGTATTTTTTGTTCATTATTGTTTTAAGCTTATTTTTTAAATTATTTTTAACTTTTTAGTTCGATGTGCTTTAAAAGCGTGTTTTTTTAGTTTTTTAAACTAATTCACCACGAAGACAAGTCCAGAGATAAAATTTTTTTTTCCATAATAAAGTATATACATTAGCTTTAATTTAAGATATATATAAAAGTGTCAGACTTTCCGGAACATGTTCAAAAGTTAAGTTGAAAAAGTTAATTTTTTGTGAAAAAGTTGTCATTTTAAATCCCCCCCGTGGGCAGGTTAAGTGTCAGATTTACAAAATAAATATACCAAATGATAGGTAAAGACATCAAGCATCTATAAAAAAAAATTATATTGATATGTTCATTTTTGAAAAAGTTACGGCAGTTTTTAGTAAAAAAAATTGAAAAAATTTCGAAAATTAGCGATTTTTAAATTTGTAATTTTTAATTTTAAGTTTTCCCCATTTACGGGGAACGAGGTAAATTTTTTCAATTTTTGAGGGTAATGTCTTCGACTAGATACGATTTGTGATCTTTTGACGTATCGTTGAAAGAAATCGGTTCGGTGAGAGCTGAGAAAAAGTGGTAACAACCACAAAAAAAAAAAGAAACACATCATAGTTAAACCAATACTATCTCAGCTTCGCATCGAAACTAAAATGTTTTTCAAGACATAATACTTTCATACACCTATTTAATTCAACAAAATTATTATTCATCCATCAATTTTTGTCGAATGATTTATAATAATAATTATTATGATTAAAAATATATATATATATATATATATATATATAAGTATATTTATTGGCTATTATTGAAACGTTATTAAAATAGTATACACATATTTTAATTGTGTGAAAATTTTATTATTTTAAAGAATTTATTTTAGAGATAAAAATTTATATAATATAAAAAAAAATTATTTTTTTTTAAACTCTTTAAATTTATTTTAATTGTGCTATAAAAGGGTTATGTGTTATTTGAGACTGTTGCAATAAGTTTAAATTGTTTTTATAATATTAAAACAAATTAAAAGAGATTAAAAAGCACATTTCTATTTTTATTTTATAAGTTTTTTGGTCTGTATACATCGCTTAATTACTAATTAGCAATTATACCAGAAACTTTATGTGATGGAACAAATCTGAAACTAGATTTTATAAAATTTTTATAAATACGAAGAAAAAGTAAAACTTTTTCAACATAAATTTTGGAAATGTTCGGGAAATACTCAGAGCTTTAAATACATGTCAAATTAATGCTTATGATAAATACTATAATAATTATATATATAATTTCAAAAAAAAAAACCCAGCACAGGGGGTTCGCGGCACAGTGGTGACGTGGTATAGATGGATCAAGTATAATGATATCTGACAGTGATTAAAATCACTATAAAAAAAAAACGCTTCGATGCAAATCTTTAAATACTGTTTAATTTTAAAAAATTGGTGGACTATTCCAAAAGCTACATTATCTGCTAGTTCATTATTAATATCCTAATTAAGATAATGTATGTAGAATGAAAAAGGGATTATTAAAAAATATTATTTCTCATAAAAAAATAATGTTAATCCATACACTTTTCAATATGTCATAGCATTATAAAGTTAAAAATGTAAAAAATAAAATCGAGAATTTTCACA